AGGCTTTTAGGCTTTTTTTTGGTAATTTTAATTTATTACTAAGCTTTGCCTATGCTGGTTCAGAACAGCCAAGCACTTTAAAACTCGCTTTTGCTAGGGCAGGGTAGTGACAGAGGGAGTGATCGATACTTTCCACCTCTTTTCCGTCCGTGCAGCTATTAAAGAAATCATTTGTAGAGTAACTCAATCGCTTAGCGTTTGATCCCACTAGACAGTGTCCTATGATTATTTACACTTTCCACTGTGCTAATAGCGGGGCGGCTAATTGAGATTAGAGATTTGCTTAGTAAGCCAACATGTGGATTCTGCTAGCTACCTTTCGTTTGCCAGTTCGGTGAATGTTCATCTAAGACGGTGTTTGCAAGATGGTAAGGCGATTCTTGCTTTGGCCCTTACTGCCTGCAACAATGTTCTCTCGAAATGAGTTGATGACATGGAGAAGGCCAATTCCACTTTTGTGTCGATACAGCGAAGGCAGGGCTAATACAAAAAGGTCTCGCAAAGCTAGCTGGGCCCTGGTGCAGCAACCAATTATAGCACTCCCATCATCGCTGTTGTTCATTGTCCTCAATTTGGGAAGGTTTAGCTAGGAATCATCTCTCATTGAGTAGATGGGATTGCAGAAGACTTATGACATTGCTGACTGGTCATTTTTCGTGGCACTAGCACCAGACTTTGATCGGAAAACATGACAACCTTATTTGCCTTCACTGTCTTGAAAAGCTTGAGTCGGAGGAACTCTTCTGCCTTAGCAAGCGTTATGTTTTCAGTACAAATTGCTGGATAGAGGTAATGACTTCATAAATATAAAGTTAGCTTTAAAGTTATAGGTTACTTGAGAAAATGGCCTTTAACCGTTTTCAATATTTACCAATCTATCTTGTTAAGTTATCTCAGCAGAGTGGTAAATGGATGGACGGATAGACAGGTATGTTTCAATCGGTTATAGTTAGTGCTCAGTGGCTGTCTTGACTCTTTTTATCTATATATTATACAAATGAAGACACATAATTACATACATACATACATATTACCTAAAGTTAGTAAGTGAGTTAAAATACGATTCAAGCATACACATGTACATACATAAATCTTCACCTACATTCTTCAATACATAAATATTTCTTCTCAGATAACTAAGTGATAAATAAGCAAAAAAAGAGCAAACATCAGGCCAGAAAACAAATCAAATTTGTGTAAAAGGAATATAATACGCCGCCATTGTCGTCAAGAGTCCGCACCGCGAAGCACCAAATGTCGTTGACACAAATTTTATCAAAATGGCAAACAAGCGAGCAGAAAGCAGACCCAACTACGTACATATTTACATATGTATTTTGTGGTTACAAAAGCAGCTGTTGCGAGAAAGGAGAAATTTACGATTTTTCGCTTGTGATTGCGGGCGTGTGTTATGGATTTGTGCCACTGAAGCATAAAGCCGCATCTGATTATATTTACGCCGCCACGCGATATACCACAATACACATACATACATATGTATGTAAGTACATAATATACATATGCTCATATATCTGTATTATTTTTTGTCAGCGACAATACGAACTGACAGAAGTCACAGAAAGAGAGTACAACTGTACATCCTTGCGTATGACAGCCATTGAGAAAGCGAAAGAGATGTGAGCCAACTTAATCTGCACCGCGATGAATTCGATAGAGGAATGATGAAGGCGCTTACAAACACACGTGCTACAAACAGACACAGAATAATAACGAAAGGCAGCGCACAGACAGCAACGCCAAAAGAATCCAACCTTTAAAGAACCAGCCAAGCGATACATCGGTAGCAACAGCAGTACCTACATACATACGTATGTATGTAAATACACTATAGTGCAAAATAGAGTGCATGGTGGTCTTTGTTGAATATTTGCAAGATTTTTATGTTAAAATGTTTGTTATTTTTCATTTATGTTACCGCATAAATTTGCACCACGTTAAACGATTTCTATTTCTTTTTTAAGGAAAGGTCGTACCTCCGAGGTGTTTCCATACTAATTTGGTTTAGAATCGATCAACAGAGAGCCAGCCATCTTCAACAAACTGATATATGCGAGTAGTGGGGCAACATCTTTCGTATCTTATGTACCGCTACTGAAGGATTTCATTAACCTGCAGAGAAAAAAGATGCTGTCTACAGAAAATTTTGACAGACCAAAATACGTTCGCTCGAAGATCTTGGCCGAAAGAAAAAATTGCTGAAAATTGTACNCATTTTTAGCAGAGTTGCTTCACAAATACTCACCCATACACAAATAAATATACTCTTCCGGAAATATGTGTGTTTGTATTTGCGCACATTTACGCATATGCAATTATAATACTGTTGTGATGGCACAATAAACAAGCTGTCAGTCGACTTGCTTGCGTGTTTGATAAGAGGACTAAGATGACAGCAATAGCGTGGACATATGTACATATGTATAAGCAAAACATGTAAACATGTGGTTTTGTTGATGAATGTGATGCGTGGTTAGTTCTATGTTCCACCCACGAATCATTGATATTTGCGGGGATTGAAGAGTTGCCATTGGCGATATGCTAAGTATAGCTACAATTTAAATTTAAGGACTTCATGCTTGGATAACTGCGGCTTTAAAGTTGCCTTTAAGATGAACTCTTTTGAAGAAACCCAAAAAATGTGTGTTGGCTAAAAATTTAATCAAAGTCGAAAAACATTCCCGAACGGTAAGGAAAGACAAACGGTCACTTAGGGATGATAGGACCGTAGTGTAAGCAGTCTCGATTTTCATCAGAACAAGCCTTCAAGAGCAACAGAAATGCAAACTAATAGTTTCATTTTCAGCCAGCCAAGGAGTGTTTTGACATTTAGAAATGTTTTACGGTGGAAAAAATGTTAGCACTGTATATTATACCAGACCATTGCGGCACAAGAATTGTCGCTGAGTTACATACTTGTCGCGTTTTGTGAGACCGGAAACAAACTTCTTTCTCAGTTAGTTTCTTTAGGGACTTCTTTAAGGATAAGTTCTGAGAAGGTACGAGCAGAAGGAACTAGAAATCGCGGAGAAGTATTAGACAGGCGGAAATATTCGTTAGAAATATTTCCTATCTTAAACCTTTCTCGATTGACGCCAATATACAAAATTTTATTATATATATTGTTGATATGGAATTTCTAACCAGGTGGAAATCTTCGTCAAAAATATTTTTGGAAAAAACCCTTCTTAAACCTCTTTCGTTTGGCACCCATATTAAAAAGTGGCAACACTCTTTAAGAATGTTTTCGAAATAAATAAAGTTGTCTTAGGCCTCTCGTTGATTTCATTTCCGCATAAAATATTTAATTTTTTAATTCTTTCTCGTTTGATACCCAAACAAAAATTGAATAGATGGCAACTCCCTATAAATTTATTTCGAAATAAATCGTTTTAGGATCCCTTTCGTTTGACATCCATAGAATTGAAATAATTTATTTAACCTACAAGTAAATTGATTTTATCCTTTTAAAAAGGTGGCAGCTCTTCCCAAAAAATATCCTAAATGTTATTCCATGATGATGATACCTTATCTGTGTTCTAAATTTCATTGAAATAGGTATATCTGTTTTAGCGTGAAAGGGCAACCAAAATATTCACTCACAAACTTTCACATTTATTAATAGGATTTTTGACAGGGCAAAATTCTGGCTAAGATAGTAAAAATTCTTTCGTAAGACATATGGCAGACAGATGGCAATATAATTCGAAAGACTTCTGTTATTCTAGCACAAAAGTCTTCAAACAAGCTCTCTGATGCACCACTCGCGGTGAAAAGCTATTTTGAGAGAAAGCCCTTCTGTATTTTATTTTTTAGAAACTTAATTTATTTGACTTTTTATTATTTTTAAAGATTTTATTGTTTTGAAAAAATGCAGTTTCATAAGATTTTTAGAAATGTACTTAATTTACTTTGTTATTAAAAAAAACTATAGTTTTTATTTAATGTAATCTTATTATATTTGTTTTAAATTTCAGTTTTTTGTAATTTTGAATTTAATTTTCTTTAAATTTTAAGGTTTTGCTTAAAAAAAAATCAATTTAACTTAATTTACAAGTACCTACTATTTTCTCTTTTGATTTTCTTGCAATTTAATTTTCTTTTAATATTTATTTGTTTAATTTCGTTTAGTTTGGAAAAATATTTTCATTTATTTATACTATATTTTCATTTAATTTTTTAATTTTGTTTTTAAAATTTCCTTTATATATTAGTTTTTATTGTTTCAAAAAGAAAAGTATGTAAATTTTTTTAATATTATTTAATTAAAAAAAATAATGGATATTATTAAAAGGCGAACAGCATAACTCTAAGACCTCCTCGATGCTTCATTTAGTTCTTCGAAGGACAGTAAAAAGCTTTCAATGTAGTTGCCAGAATTGACAATTGTCTTGCGAATAACTTTTGTCTTTCGAAAGATTGTGGTGAGTTGACAGACAGTTGCCAGAATTGCCATGTAAAAGTAACTTAAACCAACTTTAATTACACTGGACCACAAATTTCAACTTTTTCTCTTTACCAGAAACGCCGTTATGAAATTCTTATGTAAAATCACCCCCTGATTCCGAAAATCAAGGTTATTTTTAATTCTATGGTACCGTTTTTGAGATATTTGCAATTTACCGTTTTTGCAAAAAAAAAAAAAAATTGGGTCCACTTTATCATATATATCTCAAGAACGCATTAAGCAATTCCAAAACGGTTTGAAGATTTTAAAAGGCAATAAAATTTTCTATAAACTGTGCATGCAACACTTTTTGCTAGGCTCTGTAGATTCAAAGATAACGAACAATCATTACCGATTTTTTCAATTTTTTTTGTAAAAATATAAAAAAAATTGTAATTTGCGGGGAAGGATCTCGAAAACCTTTTATTTTTTTGCAGATTTTTTTTTCTCCCTAAGCTCTGTTGTATTACAAAAAAAATAAGCTATCATCGAAGAAAATCGATGCAAAACTACGTAAGTTATAAGCGATCAAATAAAAATACCCAGGTTGCGCAACTTCAATGTATGTACCTATACATACATACATATATTAAAGGTATAAAGTGCAAGTGAGATATTATCCGGATAAACGAATAATACCATAACAATGATAACACTTTTTCTTTAAATAAATCAAATAGTACTTTTAATACTCGAATTGTATTATAGTAGGTAGAGTGGTTGCATCGAAAGGAAGAGTGGTTGGGTTCGAAACCTGCTGTAGGCATGTAGTTATAAACATGTATTTCCGTCAGTTATGGGTAAGTATGCAGGTAGATTTTCAAAATTATAAGACACAGAAAATTTCTAAAGCCTACATCTAAAACAGGTAGTATTTTCTTTCCCCGGCTTGTTATAAAAAGGAACCTTTCTGTCTAGGCAAGATTTGATTTTTTCAATTTTATTCTTGTTCCGAGTATAAATATGAGTTAATGCGCTTTGAAACTTCATAACATCTTCAAGGCTCGCCGGAGATAGTTCAGTTCATAAGTCTAATTTCAAAACCGTGATTTATTAAAAAAAATAAAATGAGTAAAAGGACGCGAGAATTTGAGTGTAGTAAGGATCCAGATATGTTCTGTTTCATGTGTGGCCAATATACTATCATAAGGCGACGACGAGTGTTCTCAGATCATATCAAAACTTTATACTCCAAGTATTTTGGAATTGAGCCTAAAAATGCTGAAAAACCATGGACACCGAACACTTCAGTGGGAATCAGGACAACAAACAAAATTTGATACACCAATGATATGGAGAGAACCTACTTGCCATTCAATAGAGTGTTATATTTGTCAAACAAAAGTACTTGGCGTTGGAAGATCAAGATCCTATGCTAGCGTACCTACAGTGACATTACCAGTACTACATTCAACGGCAGTTGCGGATCCAGTTCCATTGTCAACAGTAACATCTGAGTGCAGGGGATCAAGTTGTACTGAATTTCGCATGGAAAACGAAAGAAACGTTCTGTCACAAGCACAACTTAATGATTGGATAAGAGATTTGGAACTATCCAAGGAAAAGGCCGAGATCCACACTTCTCGTATGCAACAATTTAAATTTGTGTCATCCGATGTTAAGGTGACATATAGTAGAACTCGTCACGAACCATTTTCCAAACACTATACCAAGAAAGACAGTATATGCTACTGCAACGACATCCCTGGTTTATTCAAAGAGTTTGGTCAAACATATGATTCAAAAGAGTGGCGATTGTTCATAGACGGCAATAAACTGAGTTTGAAGGCTGTATTATTGCATATTGGTAACAAAAAGCCTTCTATCCCGATTGCACATGCAGTAAATACAAAGGAAACCTACGAGGAAATGCAAAAAATACTCAAATTTATCAAATATGAAAAAAAAAGTTAAAAATATGGGTGATTTCATTCATAAATTGAACTTTTAACTCAATAGATAGCATAGCTAGATATTTCACTCTTCTTTATACCATACATACGTTTTGAGGTATACGTTGAAATTGCGCAACCTGGGTATTTTTATTTGATCGCTTATAACTTAGGTAGTTTTGCATCGATTTTCTTCGATGATACCTTATTTTTTTTGTAATATAACAGAGCTTAGGGAGAAAAAAAAAATCTGCAAAAAAATGAAAGGTTTTCGAGATCCTTCCCCGCAAAGTACAATTTTTTTTATATTTTTACAAAAAAAATTGAAAAAATCGGTAATGATTGCTCGTTATCTTTGAATCTATAGAAAATTTTATTAACTTTTAAAAGCTTCAAACCGTTTTGGAATTGCTTAATTCGTTCTTGAGATATATATGATTAAGTGGACCCAATTTTTTTTTTTTTGCAAAAACGGTAAATTGCAAATATCTCAAAAACGGTACCATAAAATTAAAAATAACCTTGATTTTCGGAATCAGGGGGTGATTTTACATACGAATTTCATAACGGCGTCTCTGGTAAATTTTGGCCGTCGACCAGTGTTATATACAGCGGCATTCTTAAATTGATATTGATATTTACAGAAAAACATTTTGCTGGACAAGATTTTCGTCAATATCAACCTATGTATTTACTTATTTAAATAAGAAAAAAAATCTTATTTCGAATTTGTTAGCTCTTTCCATGTACTATGTATTGTTATTTACACATACTTACTTATGCTTCATTAAGATATCCTTTGCATAATATTTTCCACATTCCCTTCCATTTGCTTTTTCTCTCATTCTACCAATAAACGTGCACAAAGACATTTTACTTGCCTTTGTATCATCAATTTGCCAGCTGAAATACTTGGAAAAAGCTGTTACTGAGTGGGATTTGTTTTTAATTTTCGACTTGATGCTTCTCCATATGTTACTTTACGAGTATATTGTAAGGGAAAGTGCATGTGTTTTTTTTAATAAGATTTCTTTAGAATTAACTTAACATTTGAGCATCCATACATTTTTTTTAATAACGCACATATTTTAAACAAAACGACTGCCCATATTTTAAAACTTAAAGCTTTTGTATATAAAAAATAATTATAAATGGCTTTAATTCACATTTAAATTCGATTCTCCTACACCTTGTATGTATCTGCGAACTTGTATGTACGCTTATTTACATTTTACCTCTGGCTGACATTTATCGCCATCACTCATTAAGCATACGTTTTAATGCAATGAGATTATTATTGTGATGTGTTTATCCTCGTACATAAATAAATATGTATGCACACTTGCAATTCAAGTGTTTGTATTTTCACACACACATACTAACATATGCATACACGTGTTTACACTTATTTAATAATACATTTATTTTAATTACATACCAAATTAAAACCACATATCCGTTTTGTCGAATATTAAAATGTTCTCAGAAAAATGTAATTATTTCAATTAACCTTGATCCATCATTCAGTTTAAAATTAATTAGTATATAAGTATACAATTTCACGCTTGCCATCAGCCATAATTAATTTCAAATATTCATGAAAGATATATATATATATATATATAAAGACATATATAAAAAGCGAAAAACGCTGTGCGCAGGTGACAAATGCCAGGCCCGGAGTGCTCAGTTTGAGAGGAAGTGTTGAGTTGACATCAACTCATTGTCCCATAAGATACGTCAAGAATACAATCACTTTTCCTTACCTTGGTGGCACCGACTATAAAATCACTTTCCTGGACATTTCATCCCGAGCGCAGTTTCCTGCAGACGAGAAAATAATATTACGCAACTGAGAGAGATGCCTGGCACTCCTCTAGCCTATCCAGCTTTGAGCACACCGCAAGCATGGCGACTGCTCTGATTGCGCCTTGGCTATCAGAATAGAAGTTACCCTCCGTTACTGATGTCGCACAATCGAGCAGCCAATCGCCTACCTTCTTAATGGCAGCCACCTTTGCCTTGAAAGCATTGCATTGACCCAGCAGTCTCAATTTAACGCTGATGGAGTGTTCCCTACAAATAATCCCTGCAACGACCCTTTCATAAATCAAAGAGCTATCTGTGTAAAGCTTAACCGGTGTATCTTTCCAACTTCTGCTTACCGTTCACTCAGTTCATTGGTATCAGTTTAGCCACGAACTGGTGAATACGAATTATCCACGATAAAGTTAGTCTCCAAAAATATTAGAGTATCTCAATCTTGAACCAGTTAAGCACGCACTGATGCTAAGTCTGGCTGGAGCCCTGCTTAGCGTTAAGTACCAGAGTGGAAGTGATCTTAAGTGCCCACTGATTCTAATGACTGCTGCAACAGCTTTCTGGGAATTACTTAAAACTTTATGGCCTAAAATCTGGTTTCTGTTGCTTCCTTCAGTAAAGAGCCATACTATGCCTACTTCACCTGTTCCACTGCTGCCACAACAGCTTTCCATCTAGAAGCAAGCCTAAGTATTTGAAACTAATAGAAACAGCTCCAAATTGAGAATATTTATACCTGTAACACCAGGCACAAGCTCATTTTTACTAGGATTTACAACGAGTCTTTCAGTCAACTGATATCTTTTAACCTTGGATCAAATATTAGAGAATATTCAGAAGTGTACACATCACAAAAAGTGCAAAAATCACCCGGCAGCCTATGCTCACCAGCTTGCTTAGCAGATCCACCCCTCCACGACTGCCTCCTATCGCTTAACACAGAGCTGGCGGGATATGAGCTAAACTGAGTAGATTTCGACCCCAAGCTTACCCCTGAATTGAGAAAGCACCTACACTGAAGTCTTTATATATAAAAGCTTCATCTGTCGCCTTCAAGAGGCCCAAATCACTCTCCATTTTTGGCGTACGATTATTGAACTCCTCACAGGTCATCACAAGAAATCTTTTTTCCAAAAAGACACTAAGAGAGAGTGATTGGTCTAAAGTTCTAGGGACATATGTGAGAGTTTATGTTGGCCTTTGGTGAAAAAGTCACCTAGGATACTCCCCGCACCCTTTGAAACTTCACAAGAATTATGCAATCGAGTTCCATCTACTTGATGGTCATGAAAGTGTTTACCGCAAAAAGCCAGGCGACGATTATTCATCAGGCCACCCAAGGCGGTGCTGCAATCCTATGTTCCAAAATCGGAGGGTCTAAAACTGGCATGCATGTATGTATGTGCATACTCTTTTTTTTTTAAGGAAACCATGAATTTTGTAGCAGTAATTGAAATTTTCCCTACAACTTGCTGCTTTTCTGCTATGCTTCATCAATCAGCCAGCGAAGACAGTGTTTCGCTTCATAAACTCCATTTGTTCTGCAAAATTGCTTTAAAGAAAAGGCAAGTACATACACAAGCAATACTAGTACGAGTTGACTATGGGGAGATACATTGTACATACATATGCATAAAATATATTGTAAGCGTAATCACTGTAATCACCAGTCACGACCTCTGATGGAAACGGCATAAAAAAGCGGGAGACACAGCGCAAAAAAAAAAGAGTTGTAAGTAAACACCAAACACTAATGATCACCCATAACCGTGGCAAGCACAAAAGAAATCACAACAACAAAGTCATGTGACAGCACATATGTATGTATGCAGTTGCATTAGACTGTGTCAAATAAAACGACATTTTTTTTTTCTTTCGGATGCATATAAAAATTTCGTTGTCGGTCACAAAAAATAATTGTGGGAAAAATTTTAGCCGAAAAAAAAATTTCCAAAAATCAAGGGCCTACTACTTCAAAGCTGCATTCATTAGGGGCTGCTTGCAGCTCTCAAGTAGAACGAAAATTCATACAAACTGACGCGCAAGAAATAGAAAAAAATGTTCTTTAATCAAGACTTTTTATTGTTTCTTTAAACAGTTTTATTATTGCAAGCGCTGACTGCAAAAAAGAAAACAGAAGGCTGAAATTTTGGCACATTTATTTGTTAGTCACCGACAATGAAATTTTCATATGGGACCGAATAAAAATATTCGTTTTATTTGACACAGTCTAATGTGTATGTGTAAGTAAATACATAGAATGTGTAGCTTTGCTAGGGTTGCCAACTCTATCAAGACCAATTTCCCTAAATTTTGGAAAAAATTCCCAAATTTTTTATGGTACTCCACCTTAGTGTCATTCTGTCAACATTCAAGGCACTCTATCCTTTTTTTAATAAACAAACCCCTAAAAATATAGTTGTGCTACAATCTGTCTAAAATTAAATTGTAATCAGAAAAGTAAAGCTTTGTCTCTTAGAATCAAAAGATGCAGATCAAAGACGATTCGAATAAAATTGGCGTAAAAAATGCAATTAACTTAGACGAAAATCTAAAACTTTAAGGTGGTAATGAGATCAGGCGAGCTGGAACCTTGTCTAAAAAACGTTGATCAGTTCAGGTAGACTTGGGCCACACATTTACATAGTTATTCAAGATTCTTATTATTTGAAATTACCATTATATGCGTACTTTGAGAAATTCTAAGTATACATTTTTTCTTTACTCACCCTTCCCCGGAAAAAAGTGGTTATTTATCCCACTGTGTCAGTTGATAGAAGAAAATGGTGCCACTACTAGATCAATTCCAGCTGATGTAGGAAAAAAACTTGAACTTTTTTTATGTACAAACGATTTGCTAAAATCAGGTTTTGTTGTTTTTCCCTCTTGAAATAGATTTGTAATTTAAGTTTTTAGAGACTTTTATGTTAGTGACATGAATATTATGCATGAGAAGATCCCTAGTAAAATTTTCCGAAGAGTAATTCTCTAGATATTTCAATGCTCTCACGATTTCTTGAAGTAAATGTCAAAACGATTATTTCAGGCGGGAGCTAATGGGCCAAAATGTTCTACGAAAATATTTCTCATGAAATTTTATTAGGTATGTCTTAACCTTTGATTTTGCTCAGATATTACAATTTTTTTGCACCTGTTTGAGAATGGTTATGATATGCCTATTTAATGGTTTCCCCCAAAATTTTAA